CGGTCGGCGACTTCGTCGCAGCACATGTCCCAGTCATCACTCACCAGAATCCAGTGAGTAGCAAAGAACCGATGATGGACCGTGTTTGCACTGATGGACCGATGTTGTTGTTGATGTTGTAGCAGTTGCTCTCAACCTCCGTGTTCCGGACAGCGAGGTTGACCAGAATTCTAAGGAATGTATGGGTTTGATTGCCAGGAGGTGAAATCTTGGCTTCCAGGCTTTCCAAGAGCCACTGTGGCCTTCTCTTTGGCTGTAAAGATGGCGATGCAGCTTCAAGATTTGGAGTTGGCGTTGAGGCGTGAATTGGCAATGCAGCCTTGCAATGCCTTCATGTTTTTAGTCTTTTCATCTCAGCAACATGTCAGGCTCTATGAAGAGACCTGCAACGTTATCAAATTGAGCGTCGTGACCTATAACACCCTGATCGAGGTTTCCGATGGCGTTGGGGTGAATGTTGTGCGTCACAGGTTGCCACCACCTTCTGCCAAGACGCAAACAAATCCATAAAAACAAACTATATATATAATAATTATAAGAACGGTTTTCTTCAAACCAATCCGTTTTCTTCGTGCCAGCTGGCAGGCTCTCGTTCGCAGTGGAGCATTGAATCGCGCGATGAATCTCTTGCATGATATGGCGCAACATGATGTGGGACTGAGTTGTGCCAAGTGAACGACTAATGCGCAATAATTCTGCAGTTCTGGCAGCCCTGGGTCAGTAGCGCATGGTGCAGTCCTTGTGCTCACCTTCACATGCTTGCTTTTGGACAGGACCAGACTTGATCACCTTTTCCATACTGATCAAAGGCGGACCCCTGGTTCTTACTTTTTGTGTGCAAACACTGCTGGTGTGTGTCATTCGCCATATGTCACCGGAAGGATTCGCTGGTGCTGGAGATTTGGAGACTGCGATTCAACTGCTGGGCCAGATGCAGGGCATGGAGATTCAGCCAGACTCCATTCTCTTCAACACTATCCTGCCTTTGACTGAGTTAAAAGCCAGAAGGCAGTGCATCTGAGACTTTTTTGCCCAATTGGATCATGTTGTTGTTCCCTTCGTCTTCCTGAACAACATTGGCTGGAGGTTGGAGAGGTTATTTGCAATAATGCCAAGGAATGGGTGTGTGAAACGCCAAATGCGGGCATTGGCGGAGCAGGCCGGAAATTGAACAAACACTCAATCAATCAGTGGCACTCTGTTTGACAAAAAGCTGGAAAGGACATCCCCAGACATCAAACGACCTTTTGAATGGATGCAAAGGGATATTGAGATGAAGGGAGTTGATCCGAGTTGACTATATGCCCTGCCATGGCCGATTCTTTGCAGGTTTTGGGCGACATGGTGTACCTTGTTCGCTATCGTACCTTTTGTTTGGAGTTCCACCGACCATCCAACGATCTGCTAAATATACGAAGATTCGTTGACGAACTAGTCTGCTCACAGTCTATTTTGTTTGTTTTATTTTTTTAATACAAACATATTGATCCAACGAGGAGAGCTGGCGTAGCTCCTTCAAACTATACCTTGTCGATTCTCATCAAGTTGTATGGTCGTTGTGGTGATCTGGAAGCAGCCTTTGCAATGGTGGAGAGCTATCCCAAACAATTTTGTTTCTGCTTGAATGCGCAGGTCTACACCTGCCTCATGTCCACCTGTATTTGGAGTGGCGATCTTCCCAAAGCTTTCCTAGTTTATGAACAGATGCTGCAAGACGGTTGCGTGGCAGACGGAAAGACCTATGATACCTTGTTGTTTGGATGTGTGAAGCATGGCGATCCAGTAAGAGCATCCCAAGTGGTGGTGGATGCCTTTGACGCCAAGTGGTCTTTGAATCCAAAGACACTGGAAGCAGCAGTGCAACTGGCGTACAGCCGTGGCGAGTTGGAGGCCGTTGAACGAATGACCCAACGTACCCAGCCGAGCCAAAGCTGCCGGCGGCGTGGAGTGAAGAAGCAGCTTGGACGAGAGAGGTATATAAATCATGTTTCCTGTCGAGGTCTGTTTTAGCGGTGTAACTCATTGTAACTCATGTAATACACTATCAATATCTATTAGGTTGGAGGCCATCGCTATCAGAAACAATATCATACAATTGACAATCACAGTTTTTTGTTTGAGAACTGTTGCAACGTCCCATCCTTTTGACATGGATCATTTGTGCACCTGAGGTGATTCGACTTGAGTGCGTAGAGCAAAATTAGTTTTTGCATGCTATTGCTGTTTGGGACAGTTTGCAGTACCGCTTTGACTCAGATCATGCAGATCTCAGATCAGCATTGTTTCTTTCATGTCCGCATGGATCAGCACAATGTGCCTGACTACTTGAATGTACCATGTGATGCTGTTAGTGCTTTGTATGTCTCGCCGCGATTTCTGGCCTTAGTCACTTTGTCCCATTTGTGTACTAGAACGAAACAGGACCCGTACTGTTGTGGCTTGACCTGGATATTGTGCTGCCTACAATTACGCGCGTTCGAGCAATATTTCCCTTCAATATTGTCATTCTTGCTTGAAAGGACAAGGCATGAGACCCGACTGCCTTGGCTTTCATGTGCCTCTATGGCTATTCCTTACGACGCCAAGCTTCACAAAGACATGTCTTGTGGCAAACTTTTGGACGTCAAATCCTCACAAACAAAGGAAGTCAGAGAGTTATTGACATGTTGGACATTGAACACCACGTTCCCTTTCTGCAAGGATCGTGATACTTCCCTTTTGTGATTCTTTGGTGACTGTCAATCGCACTCGGACGGATCACAACCTCACCAAGGCCTGAATTTTCAAGCGTTTCTACATGTTTCTACCTTTGGCCATTCACCTTCTTTTGACAGGCAGCGCCAGACATGCCAGAACCCTTGCCGGCGAGCGCGTCCTTTCCGATGATAGAGGCAGGCTGTCAATCTGCCGACATGAGCTCCTGTCAATTGGCGCCAGGCAGTTTTGCATGCGCAGAGACCGGTCTCAGCAGTCGCAGAGGCGGTGATTGGTTAAAGTAAAGCAACATGCAACAGCAACAACTTGCAGTACACTCGTAGAACAGCAAAGCATTATTGAAGAAGACATTAGGCAGATCTTATGGTTCACAGACGTGTTTGTTCTCCCTGTTTTGAAACCCTTGTTGGATATGGCCATGATTCATGGTGGCTTACAGTAATTGCTATTCTTCCCCTATTTGAGCCCTTCCCTTTGTGTTCCTCTCGCAACAATGCGCCAATCCGATAGTGAGAAGGAACTTGTCCTGGTGTTTACTTCTATCTAATCTAGTCAAAATGTTGTGTCTCTGCACAGGATGTCCACAGAATTACTATATTTGACATGTTCTTACATTCAGTTTCAAGATATTCTGCAAACATTTTTCAGGACAAGTCCAGCCAGCCCGAGCAGCAGGACTTGCCAGGCATAGTGACATGCTTTAATACGGATTGCGGTTATCCCACAGCGGAACGTCAGTGAAGAGCACATGAATATACATAGGGGCGGTCTGGGTGTCTTTGGACATTTGTTAGACTTTACTTGAGCTGGATGAGTGGTGGGCGGGTCTCGTGCATTTCACTTTGGATGTCCCAAGGTCTTCTCTCGCATGTATGGAGGTAATGGGTATTTGACGGATCAACTGTTTTCAGACCATCCTTTGAGGTCCCAATGGGGTAGAGGCTTTCAGCACATCCCATGTGTCCAAGCAAACGATCGTCCTTCCGCACTTGCGCCCACAAGTGCCCACAAGCCTTTTTCCTTGTGAGGCCCACCGCCATTGAGGAAATTGCACTTTCACATGGTGCCACGACTGAATGGATAGAAGTTACATAGAAGCGAGAGTGCTGACATAGAAACTGTTGACACCAAACTTTTGCTGAATGGAGGATGCGGCAACATTCCTTCGATTAGTCAATGGCACATGCCACAAATCAGCACATCAAATGCAACTCATTAACCACGCCATTTTTGTTTGTGTGGGCCAGCCAAGTTTACGCTGATGGTCTGCGGCTTCCTGATCATTGGGGCACAAAGGCATCCACGTTAGCGCGGTAAAAGGGCTCTTTTTTGCAATCGCGGCCGTGCCGTGAATCTGGACTGAATATGTGCAGGCTTGCATACAGACAGTCCCAGTCGGATGCAAGTCCTGGAGACCCCTTGGCATACGTGTCCTGGCACTAACTCCTGTCAGCTTGATGATAAACGATTAGGGCTGGTGTGAGCCATGTTTATTTCTTTTTTCCGTTTGGTGGTCAAAGTGCAGTCTTGCACTCTTTTTCCAGACTGGTGTGAAGCGGGCACTGAGTCTGAGGTGTTCAAAGCACGACAGCTACAGCAAAGTGAGGGCATCCGAGGTCGCTTGTGACAGACGTCGTAGCTCCAGTACTTCTAGGCTGCTAATAACGGAACCCATAGATTCTTTCCAGCCAGGCAGCTAGGACTAATATCCCGAGACGGCACACTTGTCTCTGAGACAGAGACAGCATATAGCATAAGGCATTGATGTTTGTACATAGTCAATTTTAATGCACAGACGGCAAGCTGAGGTTCAGACAGCATACGGAGTCTTGAAGTAATTTGGGTCGCCTTCCGCAATAGATGTGCTGAGGACCTTTAAAATCGGCACAAAAGTGCACTGGAGTAAGATCATCCTATGGAAGATATTGTAAAGAAGCAATGAAAAAGGAGAGCGACAGAAGAAGCAAGAAAGCTAAGGAATACATGGCTGATTTAATATGTCCGGGTCGGTCTAATTTTGGGTTGCTAGGGGTTGAAACCTGTTGCCGATGAATGCTTTTGGCTGCAACCCAGCATCACACATGTTCCATTTGTATAAATGTACATCGTTTCATGTCTTCTTATTTGCATTGCTTTGGTACCACATCGGGTATGTATGCAAGCAAGGTTTGCTTGCTTAGTCGATTGATATAGTTACTTTAGCTTCGGGCTCTTGCTAGTCCAAAATTTGGACGATACCGAAAAACGATACCTGCCTTAAAATTCCCCACCAAATGACCCCTAGTTTTGTTGGTCGCTCAAATGCTTTTACAAGACTGATGATGGGTGACTGGCCATGGCTGAGTGCTGCGAGTAGCTAGTCAGCGGCTTAACTGTTCCTTCCATTTTAGTGCACTATTCACTGCACGTCCGAGATTGTTCAACCACGTTTTGGTTGAACTCCTCGGCTTTGAGGCTCTTGGAGTGTGGGTTCTACCTTGGTTCTTTGTGTTGTTGCAGCGCCTTACTGATCTGATTGAGAGCAGCAGTGTGGATTTTGGGAAAACGAAGGCTTCAGCATCCATTCGAACCTGGTGGAATGGAGGCTCAGAGTTCCAAAACTCCTGACCAGCCTGTTGCATCATTGTTTGGCCAGTCCGTGATGGTATCTCATTGTGCTGTTGCTTCAAGAGTCTTACCGTAGTTTGCCTCTTGCCTAGAGCTGAAAGAACACGCATGGCCGCATGACCGGCTATGGTACGCGGTTGAGAGGCTTGTGGCAACATGCTATATATAGTGAAAAGAGATAGGAAGAAGAAGGGCCTTGGGCCTCTTTACGAAGGTAGTTGCCTAAAAAGAGGGAGCCTTATTGAAGAGAAGATGCCGCCTTTACCCTATTGTTTTTTCTATTTGCACGGAGAGCGTGGTGCAGAGTTGTCATTTCCGACTGACAGGAGACGTCGCCACCGCTCTCGACGTCCCGCCCACGAGAGAGGATGCACTCACGCGGGAGCAAACGCTCAAGACGGAGCTCATTGAGGCCGTTTGCTTGGAAAAACAATAACATCCAAGGCAATGTACATAGGGAGGCCATAGAAAGTTGAGTTTGCATACAATTGGAAGTGCATCTCTTGAGTGAGTTTGAGTATTCTGAGAGCCCGCAGGCAGTTGGGAAATCTGGTCTTCGGGGAAAGCAGAGGAGGGCTTTGGTCTGGCAGAAATTCGCAAGCATCTGTGAGGGCCCTAGGGCCGTAGAGGTTGAGCAGAAAAGAGTTAAGTTCTAAAAATCGAGGAACCAAATCATTCGCGTGAGCTAAGTAGTAGCGTCCTGTCGGTAGTAGCTACTTAAGCTGCTAGCGACTCCCTCGCTAACCTACCTCAGCGGCCTACCCCCCGATCGAATCAAGTCGGATGATGTGACCAAAGTCGCCCCGAAGGGGCTGAAGGGCTGACCTGCCATGGTTCTGGTCCAAGTGGTGAACTGAGGTATTGCTGGTGACCTTTATATAACCTGGCTTGCTTCTTTTACTGACTTCTTAGTTTGCTTTTACCATTCATCCCAATGCTGGCACGCACTGCTGCTTCATCTATTTTCATCTCCTGTTGCTGCTAAACACCTGCTGTGGCCCCGATGTCACCACGTAAACTTCCCGCACACTTTCTTCCGTCAGGCCGGATCGAGCCAATTGACAACTGCTGGGTCTTTGGTGCCTTGGCCAATATTCAAGATGTGGGGACACAGCTGCTGCGCAGGGCTGGCCCGAAGCGTTTCAGAGCTTGGAGCACAGTTCACGGGTTTGTCACCTGGGTTCTGATAGACCATGATAGACTTGTGTACCTTTGTACCATATACATATGGGGGTTGATCTAAAGGTCCCTGATGGTCCCTGTGAGGGGCAAGATAACCTTTCAGATCTGCCTGAACCCTCCGCAAAATTTGCGATGAGCTTCGCGAAAGTAGCTCTTCGCGAAAGATCTATCGAAGGTCTTCTTCATTCTCATATTATCTCCTTTCTCCGGCACAGCAGGTGGGTGGAAGTTCCCCACTGTCACAGGCTAACGGCCCTGGCCGTGCGACAACGATCCGCAGCCCTGACAGGTTGTCCAGATAGAGGTTCGTGCATGATATGTATTCTCGGGGCAATTTCAACTTTGTGAAACATCCGCGAAAGTTCTGCAGCTCCGCGAATGTACATTATATAACTAACGGCTGCATTCTCCATCAACTCGCACGATGACACAATCCGGGCGACCATGTTCGGACTGCCAACCTTGAACGCTTCACCTTTTTGTTCTGCAAGTCAAGGTCTAGCTTTCAGTAACGTAAAGTGCTAGCTTGACATGGAAGTCTTTACTGATACAGCTCTTGCGAGCATGGATCTAAGTGTGTGAGATTTTGAACGTGTTCAATGGCGACGTCCGCCTATTTTGTTTTGGCCAATGCCAAACGCCCACACTTCCGGCCTTCAACTGGTCCATGTGCCCAGATCTTGCGGGAATCAAGTACCGGCGATCTGCAAGAGACTGAGAAGGTTGGATGGGCGCTTGGGAGGCTTCGTTTCGTTGTGATATGATATGGGATTGAATTTCTTTGTAAAGACTTTCTGGGTGTGGCAAAACGCATGTGTCCACAATTGCAGCGCAATACTGTTGCCGCCATATATATCCTTCCTTTGAATGCGTTTCGAGCGGCCCTATTGCTTGAATAGGTAGTCCATGTAGGTTCCAGTGAAAAGGGTTTCTTGGTTTGGCTCTTCAGCGCAGGCGCATTGCATCATGGCTAGATACTACAAAGTGCCTCCACACATCCTGAAGAGAGGCTTTTCAAGGCTGGCTCTCGGGGGTTAAAGTGTCGGGGGACATGCTTAAACCATTGCGGGTGCATGCTGGCACGCATCACTACATGAAAACCATCCTTTGTTTAACATATTTCATTGCATTTGCTTGCATGACATGTCTAAACATTTTCCAAATACAGGGGTGTTCTGTTCTTTAATTATATGTTTTTACTGTGCCTTTTTTTTCAGTGAAACATGTGGCGTGACCAAGTCAGAACTCTGGAAAGGATACAGTTCCTGTGGCAACGTTTTTAGTCCTGGCACATCTCGCAGCAAAGCAACAAACCAGCAATGCATTGGAACAAACTGTCCTGCAGTGTGCAGTGTACCTGGTAAGCGCCACCACATGTATCCTTGGTCCTTCTTGCAAGGATCTTTTTTGCTGATGGATGGACGTGATCAAATCTTCATGCATGAAACACCACGTCGTCCTCGGTTTTTTTTCTGCGACAACCTTGCTCCACCACATGGGTGATCAAATGGAGCTTATTAGGCCGAGGGTTACACAAGCGGTCGCAACAAAAAGTTCGAGACCTTTCAATCTCAAATATGTCGTCAGGAACCAATTCTACTAGGAACAAGTGCATCGCTTCTAGTAACAAGTGCCTTACTAGTAGTAACAAGAAGCTAGTAGACAGCTGCTTTACTTGGTGAACTCGGTGAACATCACGTCACTGCGCGCAATCAATCCAATGTTGCCTAACAAAACAGCATCCAGTTGCGGGAGGTCATGGGTTTGCAAAAATCAATCAAGGATATCAAGATACTCCACGATCCCAGTTGCTTTATCTGTGAAGTGCACGTGCTTATTGTTCTTCAATCAGAGTTTGGTGAGTTTGCTATGGGTTTGGCAATTTTCTGGTTCCATGGTTCTTAGCCCAAGTCTTGATGAACAATGATGCTTATCTCATTGTGGCATCCACCTGGTCCTGGCAACATCTACCTAACTTTCACATCATTCCAAAAACTATTCAAACATGACAGGCTGACATTGAAAGATGCCCTGTGTTCTCAGCATCACGATTATAATGATCTAGAGAGCTCGTGATCCAGTGGTTTCGGACTTCAGCAAAGCTTCAACATCAGCAACCAGTCTGCAAGCAGCATAAGTGAGTCACACCTGAGTCCCAACCATTCGATGAGGCAGAACCGCAGGCCAATTGCGGATTTCTACGCGATGTTACAATATCAGGAAAAGCCAAGTCCTTAACGCAGTCCATTCCGCCACAAGGCAAATCTGAGCCTCCACGCAGCACACGACACTGACGCCGAGACCCGGGAAAACATCCAAGTCATTGAGTCATAGATATGGCCAAGACGTGCAGCTGAAGCCAGACTAGTTGAGCCTTGGCGTACTTCCGCCGCCAGCCTGCAGGAAACCAACACCAAGAATTTGGTCCATAGAAACTGATTGGTCCGCCGCCTTTCATCCAGAGCTTGTCTCAAAGCCACCGCTCCTGGGTTCGTAGCTGGCCAGCAGAAAGAAGCAGCCTACACCTGTTCAAGAAAGACAAGCAGATTTCAAAGGGACACAAAAAACGTCAACGCAGCTGAGCAAGAACAATGTTTCGCTGCTTTCTGCGTGTCATGTGCTTGTGCATGAACCTGTCTTCATGGGCACTTGGCTTGTAGCCCCCAAACCGATCATCCCGCGACCACCACTTGGGTTCCAGGTACAGGTACAAGGCTCGCCTGTGCCATGACATTGGCCACATCCACTGCAACAGTAGCTTTCACAGAAGTCAAACCTATGGACAAAGGTTGAACCGCTGAGGCAGGAGCAAGATTGGCGCTGACAGAACAAGAATCTATTCCAAGCCCGACTTTGTAATACAGAAGGAAAGCCACACGCGGTGCCATAAGGTTTCCATCTCTGACAAATGGTCTGAAAGCACTCCCAGCAGGGAATACCAGGCTCCTTTCACGGCTGCCTGAAGCCTTCAATGCAGACTCAGCAAACCTTGCTGGTGTAATTTTTTGCTGCCAGGGTCACATTCATTTTGGTCAGATCAGGTTGCAAGAAAACGCGCCCTGCGTGGAATTAAATCAGCCGCCAATGTTTTGCCAGACTCACGTTGATCACTCAGGGCCGCAAAGTCAATCATCGTGAGAGTGCGGCTTCGTCCGTTTTCGTTGTTGGATTGTGTGACTGTGTGAAAACTAGTAGCGATGCACTTGCTACTAGTAGCTTCTAGCGTCTAGTAGCGATGTTCTTCTTACTGTGTATGCTGTCCTTCCAGGTTGGAGATGCGTTTTTCTCCAGACTCCGCTGGGGAGATCCGAGCTTCACTGGTGCGCTGCGGGTGGCGTTCCCATCATAAAGTGTTGAGGTTGGAGGCATGGAGGCGCATGGTAGGTGCAAAGGTTTATGCACAAGGGATGATATCCGATGTATTTTTTGGCAGGTTAAATTAGCAAACAGACAAGCAGCTTGTAGTCACTTTCGATTTCACAAGTGTTACTGTGTTGCGTTCTCAGATCTTGACGACCCTGAGCATCTTCGATCAGTATTTCCGGACGGGCAGAACAAAAGCGGAAAGGCAGCGGCTGTCTCACTGTCTCACTGCCTTCTCCAATCAGTCTTGCCCGTAGTACAGTACAGGTCCTTATGGTAGCAGTTTGGGCTAAGTTTGATCGAGGGCGCTCATCCGGCATCCCGAAGTGGATTTCGGCTGCGTGGGTTCTGGAGCCTTGTGGAGCCTTGTGTACACATTTGTGGCTTGGGTGGTCACTCTTCGTGGAGCCGTGTCCTCATGTTTGGGTGGTGGGAGGCGCCGTTTTACTTCGATGTGTGGCCGGCGCAGTGCTTTGGACCCGGTGTTGGCCCGTGGAATACTTTGTTTTTGCGGGCGGGCGCAGTGAATGGTGCACTTTGGACATGTGGCTCATTTTCAGCGCCTCGAACTTGTCATTGGAAGCGCGTCTGTGCTTTTTTGGCAAAATGCACTGGGTTGTGAACGGCGCAGTGCTTGTGAACTTTCCTGCGCAGAGTGAACGTCCATGTCAGCGCAGATTTGGGGCAGGCGCCGCCTTTTGTAAACATTTTGTGGCGTCAGCCCTTTGGAAAACTTGCGGTGCAGATTTTGTGGTGCGGGCGGGGCTTTGTGGGTGTCCATTAATAGATGTCGTGGCAAGGCAGCGCTTTGTAAACCTCGAAGGGCAGCTTTCCTGGCAGGCGCAGCAACCTGAAGTGCAGATCGTGGCAGATCTGTCATTTAGTGAACCTGGAAGTGCAAATATGTCCTCTCATACTTTTGCTTGCGTATGTGCACTCTCGGACTCACTCTCCTTGTTCGCTCTTGCGTGTGCGCTCGTTGTTTTGGTGCTCCCGTGCGTGTGCGCTCGTATGCGGTTTGCTCGCATATGTGTGCTCTTATGTGATGTGTTCCCTCATGTGTGCTGCCATGCGCGTGCTCTCATGTGCTCAAATTTTTGCTAATGTATGTGCAGGCGTGCTATCATTTGTGTTGTCTCCTGTGTGTGCTCTCATATGCCTCCTCACATTGTGTACTCTCATGTGCTTGCTGACATATGTGTGCTCTCATGTATGTGCTCTCATTGGTGTTTTCGTGCGTGTTCTCATATGTTTGGTCTCTCATGTACTGGTATAGACGTTTTTTGATCAACCGGGATATGTTTTCGCACGTGCGGTATGGTTCAAAAGCTGTGACATGATGCACATGAACGTGGTTTCAATGCACATGAACGCGGTTTGAATATGAACTCAGCCAAAATATCTGGCGGCATAGATGTGAGATGAAACCAAAGCTGTTTGATCAACACCTTTGAGATCAACACCTTTTGAAGTGTTTTGATCTTCGACCTATTGTGTTTGTTTGGTTCGAACACTTTAATTTTTTCGGTCTATGGCTGTCTATGGAGGAAATACATCGTGGAGAGCCTTGAGACATCCATCTCTGACTTTACGAAGAAAAAATGGAATGTGTGGCGCTCGGAGCGCTTCGCCTTTGGGACATTTGCAGCTTCCCCTCGCCTTCTCTCCTGTTGTGTCATGATCCCTGTGAACTTGTTCGCCTCAAGAATCAACTCGAGCCGCCAACCTTTTCTGGTGAACCTATTGGTTGGGCGAGTGGCCGAGTGTTTTAACTCCCACATCAGCTGATTCCTAGGCCGATGTTCTGTTCAACGCCTTCTGCGTCAGGCCGATGAGCGACGCTGCTCAGTTTTCAGATGCGGATTCCATCGGTGTCTGACACGAACAGGATGAACATGTGCGAACGGATCTACTTTACGGTGGATGTCAGCGGAACCTCCAACCTATTTTCACGATTCGTGCAGCCCTGGCTTGTTTGCCAAGATGACGTCCTATTTTTTGACGAAGCTGCACCTCTACTTCCGCACAATTTCTGGATGTTTTGTACTCTCAAGGTAGATTCGACAAGCTGGTGGTTGCTGTGAGTTTTGGACTTGGGATGCTTCGCAACAGCAACAGCAACAACAACAACAACAACAACTACTACTACTACTACT